CCCGGGGCGGAGGGGGCGTCCTTCCCATCCCATCCTTAGATCAGTGCCGCGACCTCGCTTCTCTTCCCAGACAAATGCGTCACTAGCGAGCTGCTGAAGGACCTGCCCCTGAGTGGGGGGCTGAGCGTGACCCCGACCGTGACCCCCCAGAGCGTGGACCTGAGCGCCGATGCTGAGCTGCTGAAGGGAGGTAAGAGCCGCCGGGGGTGCAGGACCCCCTGCCAGGAGCACCTGGTCTCACAGTTCTTACCGGCTTCCCCTTCCCTCTGTAGGTCCCCTCCCATCCCCAAAGGAGCTCATCAACGGGAACATCAAAACCATCACAGAGTACCGGGAGGAGGAGGATGGGCGCAAAGTGAAGGTGAGTGGGGGGGGGGCTGGAGAGCAGGCCCTAGAGTTCCCTGGGCTCCCGGCTGGAATCCTGCGTCTGCAAAGCCCATCCCAGCCCCTGAGCAGTGGGGCTCCCCAGTCTGGGGCTTCATTTGCTTTTGCTTCTCGGCCACTTTCTCCTAATCGCAAGGACTGGCCCTGCTAGGACTCACTCCCCTCCAAAGCACCCACGCGCCCTGTGGCCCTCCTGCCCCATGGCCCGGCAGGCAGGCATGGCAGCTGGAGCATGGGGTGGCAGGCCCCCCCGGCAAGCTGTGACCCCACCTGACCCCAGGGCTCTCAGCGACTGGTACTGTGGTCAGTCCAAAGCAGCCGGGAAAGGCCTCGAAAGGAGCTCGCAGAGCCAGGGGGCTGCTGAGTCCAGAGCCAAGGGCCAGGGCGGCTAGAAATGGAGTCTCTGGCCTCTGTCAGAGGCTGGGAATGGGCAAGGGGGGCGGCTCACTGGAGGCTGGCAGTGGCCGCTGCCCCCAGCCCGGACCCTGGGCTGGGTGGGCCGTTGGTCTGACCCCGCCGGGCTGCTCTTCTGTGCTTATGTCCCAGATCATCCGCACCTTCCGCATTGAGACCAGGAAGGCCTCTAAGGCTGTGGCGCGTCGGAAGGTGAGTGAGCTCGGCCCTGGCCGCTGGCCGGGGGGTGGGATCACAGGTGTGTGCAGGGCGCTGGGAAGTGCCCCAGCCTAGTCCCACCCCACTGCTCCCCTGGGAGCCCCTTGACCTGCTGGGCAGCAGAGCTGGGTCCCGGTGTCGGCCGGGGCTCCCGTGCCTGCAGGACGCTTGTTGTCAGGGCCTGAGACGGCAAGGCCCAGGGAGTGCGTGTGGGGAACGGGGGGACGGTCTCCTCAGCCCCTCCCCCACCAGCTCATTGGCTCTTGCCCAGAACTGGAAGAAATTCGGCAACTCGGAGTTCGACGCTCCGGGCCCCAACGTGGCCACGACCACCGTGAGCGATGACGTCTTCATGACCTTCATCACCAGCAAGGAGGTGAGGGCAGAGCGGGGAGTGGCGGGGGGGCCCAGGGCTCTGACAGCAGCCCATGGGCCCTCCTGCCCCGGTGCGTTGGAGCTGGGCTGCTCTAAGAGGCGGGGGGAGTCCAGGCTCGCCGGGGTGGAGTCCGGGGCCCTGCCCCCGGCGAGGAGGGCGCCATGGGGCTGACAGGGCTCCCCCTCTGCTGTAGGACCTGAACTGCCAGGAGGAGGAGGACCCCATGAACAAGCTGAAGGGGCAGAAGATCGTGTCGTGCCGGATCTGCAAGGGCGACCACTGGACGACGCGCTGCCCCTACAAGGACACGCTGGGCCCCATGCAGAAGGAGCTGGCCGAGCAGCTGGGCCTGTCCACGGGCGAGAAGGAGAAGCTCCCAGGAGGTGCGGCTGGGGAGGGCAGGGGGCACAATGGGGCACTCTGGCTTGACTGTGGGCTGGCCAGCGGGGGCAAGGCAGGTCCCCAGGCGTGGGAGATGGGCAGGGGGCTGTGTCCAGAGATCTGGGGCTATGTGAAGGCTTAGTGAACCTGGCTGTGCTGCCTTGCTGTATGCTCCCACTGGGTCCCCCAGTGCCGGGCGCCCCTGCTGCTCCGGGTCTGGGTGCAATTGAGTCCGCCCGCCTGGCCGCACCCAGAGCTTAACCCGCCTTGCCAGCTCGTTGACTAGCCCACCCCTGGCGTGGCTGCTCTGCCTCTTCCCAGGCAGCTCGTGAGTCATCTCCCGCTGGCAGTGTGAGCGCCAGCCGGGGCCATAAACCTGGCACCGGGAAGCCAGGCCGTGAACCCCGTGTCACCCCTAGGCCACAGCCGGACTCTGCCAGCCCAGCCCCGGCCCGCCAGGAGTCACTCGCTGTAGCCCAGAGGGGTCTGCGGGGTCCAGGCTGCCCGGCGTGCTGAGCGAGGTCTGGTCACACACTGGTCTGCTGGAGACTGGGATGTGAGAGCAGCTGCCTCCAGTGCCAGGAGCCCTTTGTCCGTCAGGGCTGGCTCTCCAGGGGTCCCCGTTGCTCCCCTCCACCGTCCCGGAGACCCCTGAAAAGTGAACGCCACCCCGCCCGCAGGCTGCTGCTGCTTTGGGGCAGGTGCCAAGCCCTGCTCCAGCCCCAGGCCCCTTTGCCCTTTCGGCTGCCTCGCTGCCCGTGCCCTGCTCCGCCCTGGGGCTCTGCCCCTGCAGACCGGGCGGGGCCCTTTGCTGCCTCAGCTCGTTTCTTAGGAATGTCCTTTCGGTGCAGACAGCTCGTCCTGCATGGCCTGACCAGCCAGCGGGCACCAGGCTTGCAGGGGAGCTTCCCGGGGCCGTGGGGGCTGCTCTGCCAGCTGGCTTCAGTGGCTCTGGGGGTCAGGGGCTCCCCAGTGGCGGCTCCATGTGGGAGCCGGTCTCTGGGGAGGGGGTGGGGGAGGACTGTGGGGCTCGCCGG